CCCCAAAACCCCAAAACCCCAAAACCCCAAAACCCCAAAACCCCAAAACCCCTCCTGCTCTTTTTCTAATAGAAACATGCCATTTAATCATCATCAATATCAGAAGGAGCCTCTTGGAATATTTTCTCATCGAATTCTGGACCTTGAGGGACATCCACTTCATTCAAATCTTCTTCATCTTCGAAAAAGCCTTCTGGGAGTTCTCCATCGCTCATTGAGAAGTCTTCAGCACCTTCGTTAAGAGCATCAACTTCTTTATCCTTTTGGTCCTCAACAGGAGTCTTCTTGTTCTTATGATCAAGCGCCTTTTGCCTCTCTTGCTTCTCCTTCTTGGATTTCAATAGCAAGTGCTTATAGAGGAACTCTTCATCAGGCCTATACTCTGATGTCTTTGCGATCTTAGATTTGACAGTATTGTAATCTGGATCCTCAATATCATCTTCTGTCTTTTTAACAATTTCTTTAATTTCTTCAGCTCTGGCCGTCCTCTTCTTTCTGAATCTCATCTTTTCAAGCTTCTGAGAAGATTTAGCAGGCTTAAGGATAATCTTATCCAGGAAATTTCCTAGGGAAAAGTCTTGTAAAGGATCTCCATTGTACTTAATCTCTCTGCCAGACATCATATTTTTTACCCAAATTCGTATGGTAGGGTGGTAATAGTTTCTCAGAATATCAAGCTCCCAGAAAGAAGTCTGATCAGCATTAGCATACCTTGGGTCCTTCTTACGAGGGACATATTCAGTAGTAAATTTAGTTTTGTTCTCTTCTTTATCTTTATCTTCAGCTTCTTCTTTCTCCTTTTCTTGAGCTTTCTTCTGCCTCTTCTTGTTCTTCTTGCTCTTCTTATTGCCTTCTTCTACATCAACGAAGACTTCTTCATCGTCTGAATCTAGAAGCTTGTCTTTGCTGAACATGAGGCCTCTGATTTCTTTTCTGGATTTGAGAACTTCGTTGATGAGCAGAATAGAGGCAGCTACGAAGGAGATTTCATTAACATAGCACATCTGAATCAATCTCTTGAAGAAAGCTTGCACCCTTTCAATGCAGGTATCCTTCTTGATAGCTTTGTAGAGTAAAGCAAAGGTAGAATCAAGCTTTATGGCTGCTACATTGGTCAATGAACCTACAACTTGGTATAGAGTTGTATAGAACTTGTCCTTCAGGGATACTTGTACCTTAAGGAACACAAAGATCAATTTTAAGGTTTCAATTTTGACTCTGAATGAATTTGACCTTGTCAAAGAGAATAAGATTCCTATTTCTTCTGATATAGATTGGACTGTCAATTCCAGTGTTCCAGGGTCCAAATTGGAAACAATGTTGTGAATTCCTCTCAAAATCAAAGTTATTACCTCATTCTTATGAGCAGTCTCATGCCCACGGAATAGTCTTTTGAATTGTGAGAAGTATATCTTTAAAGCATCTGCAATATAATCAGTGTCATCTTCGTAGTAGACAATTTTGTTAAGACATGAAACGAAGAAGTAAAGAGATTTGTTGTGAACTCTTTCCATGAACTGCTGGATCTCCCCAGTAAACACGGCTGTCATATTTCCATGCTTCTTGAGGATCCTGATAATATTTTGAATGGTGTGTTTTGGAATGTCATTGTTAGGGTCTCCTAATTTGTTGATCAAGATACTCAAAAGCGTTTCTTCTCTTTCTGGGCAGCTCATTAAGCAATCCGAAACAATTGAGATGGCAAGCTTTTTGAAGTAATCAAGATTATCATTTGTACATTTTCCAAGGAAATCAACATATTCGATGTATAGACTTCTAACTATATTTTCATGATAAGCTCGAGTAAGTAATGCATTTGTAATTTCAGTTTTTTTCTCTTGTGCTTCCTCAATGCTTTGCTTGAAGCTCTTTAACTTCCTATCTTCTGGGAGTAAGGCTTTGCAGAATACTTCTTGAAGAGAATCAAGAGCGATGAATGCTTGCTTTCTATCCTTTTTATAAGCTTGTTTTATCAAATTTTTGAGATACTCCCCTGATGACTCAGGATCCTTTTTAACGATCATGCTCAAAGCCATGATTTTATCCTTTACTGTTCCTTTATCCATCAAGCTTTTGTACCATTTGGCGTCTTTATCATTCTAAATTTTAGGCAATATAGAGTACTTGGCTCGGCTTTTCAATCTTTTCTTTGAAAATTCGTTCTTTCTCTTTAATCAACTTTGCTGCTTTCGCTATAATGAAGATTAGTATTGGATGATTAAGCAGTTATTGAAGCTGCAAGCTTTTATTCACAGATCTGCAAGATTTAAATCAGATTATTCGATACAAAATTAATTGAATTTACCTTGGTACTCCTCAGTTCCATCTTGGTCATACTCTACTGCTTTCTTCTTGCCTTTCTTCTTTTTATGGAGCTTCAGAGACTTCTTATCTAAGACAGTCTCTAATTTCCCGATGTTTTCCTCAAGTTTTTCAAGGGTTTTAGTTTTAGACTTTTTCTTTCCCATTGTTTGTGAAACACTCTTAAATTTATTAAATCAAATGGGGTTTTGGGGTTTTGGGGTTTTGGGGTTTTGGGG